GCGCGGGCATCGAAGGTAGTGGCGGGGCCCGAGGCGGGGGCGATGGGGCCGCATCCCCACCCCAGCTGCCCCCTCGCCGGGCGGGCTCCAGCCCCAGCCCCGCGGTGCTGCTCCCATCACATCTCCCCGCTGGCAGGCGGCCACTGCCTATCCTGGCGGCCCCAAACACGAGCTCTCAGCTCTTCAGCCCCCCTGTCTCGTTCAGATCCCACTCATACTCGCTGCACGCGATAAGAAATGGAGCAGAAAATTCACGAGCCCCTTGTGCACACTTTGGATTTGTCTTTCAGGCGTGGTGCGGTCCGTTAAGGAGACCCTGAGCAGCCAGTTTGTGGAGAACTGCAAGGGCGTCGTTCAGAGGCTGACGCTGCAGGAGCATAAGATGGTGTGGAACCGAACAACCCACCTCTGGTACGTGCCCGGTGCCCACAAACGGCCGGCTGTCAGACCGGGTGAGGTGCCCTCGGCGGGCCTGATGTGCCAAAGTGACTTCAGGCATGGCCAAAGTGACCAGGGTGCCCCAGACCCGGACCCCACAGCTGCTGAAACGGGGCACGTTGGGCTGTTTGCAGGGCTGTAGCCTTTCAGAGTTCGTACAGGGGCTATAGATGATGAGGACGTAGAGTCACCCAGCATGGACAGGGCGTTTATCGGCAGCCCCACATTGTTGTTACGGAGGTGGCCACAGGACAGTATTTCCTGAGCAAAACGACGCCTTCAAAACAAAAATTCTTTTGGATTCGGGCAATTCCCGCAGCCAGGGGACCAGAGGATGGTCCCGAGAGTGGCCTGGCCCACGAGAGCTGCTGAAACGAGAGCACAGTGACGCTCTTTGAGCCTCGGCTAATCGGATAGCGCTTATCAAACTTGCCTGTGTGCCAGGCAGCGCTACTCCTGGCAGCCGGGAACACCACGGGGAGACGAGGGGGGAATTAGGTGGGCCGAAGCGCTCTCCCGGTGAGGGTGGAAGCCCACGCTACTTCTGCGGGGACTGGGGAAGAGTCGAGGCAGAGGGCCTCGTGCACGCCCGGACGGTGCCACGAGGGGCGAAACGCCGCTCCCTGGTGAATCCCAGCCAGATAAACTTTGCGCAGGGCAGGTGACAGCTGGCCGTACCCAAAAACGGCAGGTCGGCCCCACGCGGTGTTTCCCTGCCAGCCTCGGGGGAAGCGCTAATGCTTGCGTTTGCTTTCTCCCCTTCTCCTTCCCCAGGAACGACTACGAGAAGATCATCCACCAGAGAACCAACACCACCCCCTTTGAGCTGGTCCCTCAGGAGGAAGGCGCCGGCGTCACCGTCAGGGTGATGAAGCCGCTGGAGGCCGCCGAGCTCAGCCTGGAGACGGTGTACGAGAAGTTTCATCCCTCCGTCCAGTCTTTTACTGACGTCATCGGCCACTACATCAGCGGCGAGCGCCCGAAGGGCATTCAGGAGACGGAGCAGATGCTGAAGGTGGGCACGGCACTGACGGGAGTGGGAGAGCTGGTGCTGGATAACACCACGATCAAGCTGCAGCCCCCGAAGCAGGGCATGCCCTACTACCTGAGCGCCGTGGATTTCGACTCCTTGCTGCAGAAACAAGAATTGAACGTCCGGTTCTGGAAAATCCTCACCGTCGTTTTCGGTTTTGCCACCTGCGCCGTCCTCTTCTTCATCCTACGGAAGCAATACCGGCATCACCGAGAGAGGCAGCACCTCAAGCAAATGCAGGATGAATTCCGGCAGGCCCAGGGCCGCCTGATGCGCGAAATGAACATGGAGAGTGGAGAGACGCTCAAAAACGCCTGCGTCATCTGCTTGAGCAACACCAAATCCTGCGTCTTCCTGGAGTGCGGGCACGTTTGCTCTTGCAGCGAGTGCTACCGGGCTCTCCCCGAGCCCAAAAGGTGCCCGATCTGCAGGCAGGCCATCTCCAGGGTGGTTCCCTTGTACAACAGTTAAATTTCTGTGGCCGGGGCAGGAGCTTTTGGCATTAAAGCCGCCTCTCGCAAAGGGGTTTTCTCGCCTCGCTGCTCGGGCGGTTGATTTGGGGGAAGGGGAGGGAGCTTGAGTGAGCGGGGTGCTTCGACTGGGGTGCAGAGCCGGGTCTTAAAAGGCGAGGGTCCAGCTGATCAGGGCTCACATCACGCTCTGGAGGTTTTGGGGGCGGGAGACGAGGAGTCCTTGCAAAGGGCGCGACGCTCAGCTGGGAGACGCAGTTTCAAGCTCTTCTGTTGAGAGTCGGACTCTCGGGGTTTGCGTCAGGGTTCAGCGAGCCTGCGGTCCCTTACCCGGCATGTAAAAACGTCGCGGGGGTGGGGGGGGAAAGATGGATTATGGCTTCTTAGAGGCTGCAGAATTCAGGCGATGCTGCCACCTAGCTCAGGGAGCGACGGAGCAGGGTGGGCTTTCAGAGAGCTCAGAAATCATTTTGTGATCATCCACAAAACCAGTTTGTGACCGTAACGCGCCGGGACGCGAAAACAGGGAGGTGAAAATGCTGCGGCTGATTTCTGCGCTTGGCTTGAGCTGGGATAGAAAGACGGGATGTAAAGTAATAAAATAGGATGAAAAGCGTGTTTTTCTTGGATCGTCACGTGAGCCTGAGGGGGGTGAGGGAATCCCCTGCCCCTCTGCGCTGATGAACACCGGAGGAACGTAAATCCCCCCGCGCGGTGACCGGGGCTGGGGTGACGGGGGTGGGATCCCATCCCTCTGCGCTGAATCTGACGCCGGCTGCGGCGGACGCCGCTGTCCCCATGTCTGTCACGCAGGCGGAACCAAAACCCCGAACTTTCACACAGAAAAGGAAAATTCCCTTCCCCGACTCCCCCGTTTTGCCATAAATCACGTGGGGTAACTGCACCCGAGAGGGTTAACGACCCCAAAGCCAGGCTTCAATTAACATTTGCTGTGGAGGGCACCGAGTTTCAATTAGAGAAATGGCGGGGCGGGGCGGGGCGGGGGAGCCCCTGGTTTGGCAGCCCGGAGCAGGAACGGGCGAAAACCCCGGGACTGAAGCAGCCCCCGGGATTCGGGGGAAGACCCCGCGCCGACGCCTGCGTCAGCCAGCGCCGCCGGCGTCCCCCTCGCTCGGGGGGTCCCCGTGCCCTGGCGCATCGAAAAGGAAATAATTTTCCATCGACTGCCAAGAAAACGGGTGAATTTAACAAGGAACCGGGTTATTTCCTCGTTAAACGTTAACGAGACGGGCCGGGCAGCGTCCGAAGGCCGCTGTGGTTGCACGGCACAAAACCACCGGCTTCATTTCCGCGCCAGCCGGAGGAGCGGGGCCTTGGGCAGCCCCAGCGCCGGGAAGGGCCGCATCCAGCCCACCCCGCCGGCTGTAGATGGCGGTGGCCGCCCGCCGCGGCGGGGCTGGCCGGCCGTGGGGCGCCTGCGCGGCGAAAAATTTTGCTACATCCTGCAGAATGGATAATAAAGAGAATAACTTATGTTCTTTCATGTTGACTTGTTATAAGAATAGTAGATCTATTGTGCCAACATTTTCAAAGCAACAGGTCACATTATTTCCAACCAGAGACATGGGAGGAATAGATGATTTTGAATATATCATAATTCTTAAACCAGAAAAGAATGTATGTTCTTGAATAGGAAAGCATTATCAGGGTGATTTATTGACCATGAAGTTTATTGGCCTAAGCCTTAAAAGATACAGATAGATAAGCCCTAAAGCTGGCCGCATACCTTTCACTGTGGGCAAGAATTCAATGCTTAAAAAGA